CAAGCAACTTCAAGTCATTCAAGTCCCTCTAATAGATCAGTACAATTTTCTCACCAAGGCTCTTTGTCTTTCAAGCTTTCACTTTGTGGGAACAACTCAGAGTGGTGGAGGGGATATTTGAGTAAGAGTTACTTCCATGTAGTTTTCTCTATTTCACTGTATTTTTAAGTTTTCAGTTTGCTAGATGTTCTCCTAACTTAACTGAACTGTCAATGACAGTTAGTTGTTAGGAGTTCGTTTCCTTCTGTGTTGAAATCATTCATCCCTTCTAGTAATAAAATCAAGTTTCAATTCTCCACAACTCCTTGAACTAATAAGCAACAAATAAAATACTCATATTATGAACCGATATCTATCTTCAACATGGAACGGCCAACAATGTGGAAATCATTTGGAATCCTACATTTCCAGATTAAAACAGAATACCTCATACAAAATGCTTGAATTGTCATGTTCTGTTCAAACATTCAAGAAAATTGAGTATCTCAACCAATGTCAAAATAACAAGCAAATGCTTAACTATCTATTTAAGCACCACGTTTTTGAAACAATCACGGAAAAAACAGTATAGACATTACGTGTTCTGATTAGCATCAACAAGCATTCAAATTTATATCATCTGAAACAGTGTGAATAAAAATCAATCAAGTGAATTATAATAGGAATCAGACGCCAAATAATCACCTCTTCGCTGATTAGCATAATGCTCAGGATTGCACGGCTAAGAGTCCACTGATTGCCACGGTCCTCAAATATAACAACTTCAAATAGAGTTCTCAATATCTAAGGAAATTTTAAAGACAATTAAAAAGTTAAGACATACTCAATAGAGTAATATCAGAGAAAATACCAATAGACTAAGCACATCGGTTCAAGCTGTAGTGAAAAGAAAAATAAACCTTAAGTAAGCTAATTATAAACATACTCTAGAGAAAAGTTCAGCACAGTCAGAAATGAGTCCAGATACATTAAGAGCAGAAGGTGAGGTAGTCAACTCTCCAACAATGACATGGGTGAAATAAAATGTAGCCAAGTTGTCAATAGCATAGGCGCACTACAAATGCAAATGACACATTAGAGTTAGTAACTAGAAAAATACCATATAATAAGAAATTGTCCCTAGTTCTCAATTCAAGCGCACTACAAGCGCACTACAAGCGCATAAACAAATTTTATTTGGATTATAAACCAAACTTATATTTAGTACCAGTAAATAACATGATTTGAATTATATTGGGGAATCAACGTCCATATTATTTAGCTTGGGTAACTTTTTGGTGTGTTAAACAGAAAAAAAAATGAACATGCAGGAATGGTGTAGTTAGATGCACTTATTGATGAATATAGGCGGTGGAGGTGTTTTTTGTGGGAGTCTGGTCAAAGTATATCTATAGAATGCATATGAATACACTATAACAGGATGTTAGGAATCTTGGTAAGAATCCTAACTTTCTCCCTTACTCGCACACTTCAGTCAACTCACAGCAAGAAATTGTAAAAGAAACGACTTGTATTCACATCAAAGAATCAAGAATACAATTGGGAAACCAGGAGCTTAACCTCGTTCACCACGTCTGAACTGGTCTACAACTCAAGAGTACAAAACTCTCTAACTCAAAACAATAAAAGAGGTCCTTTTATAGAGACCATTTTCCCGCCCCACTTAACTGTTTGGCAGTTAAGTACTCTTCCTCACGTTTCGCCTCTGATAAACCCTCCATGTCCTAACACAGGATATCATTGTTTATTTACTTTTTTGGTCATATGTATTTAACACTTTTCTCTGGTATAACTAGCATTATAAAATATACTTCTCTGCTGAACCAAAAAAAAAAATTAATTGAATTATCACAACTAAAAGTGTGTCGAGCTTTTACAAACCTGTGCAGATATCTTGTCACTCAAATCTTTAAGCCCTGACTCAAGAGATCCAACAACAAGCATAAACGTAGTTTTATCCAAACTTAAAACAAATGACAAATGACAACTGAAGAGAGAATCCAAGAATGCAAAGTATGCAGCTGCGACCTGGAAAATAGACCAGAAGAAAAACCTGTAATGACCAGTGATCAAGACATACCATCAGAAAGAACTCTATCAACGACTATCTTTTTTAAGTCAAACCCAGTTGTCATTAATTTTTAGTTCTTTCAGCTATATTCCAGAAACAAAACTGTAAACATCAGGGCTGGCCAACCTGTGTTAGAGAGGAAAAAGAAGCATAAACCAAATAAAATATACACTAAAAAGGTTGATCAAATACTTGTATACAAATTAATTGATATCAGTTTAAGAAAACAAGCAAACCAAATAGTAATCCGAATTTCTTACACAATCATTACCAAACTAATTTAAAATTAAACTCAAATGTAGACAAATGGAAATATTAGATGTAAGTTTACCAACAATATATGCCTAATAAACTTTACATATATATTATAATTACAACACACAAATTGGATAAACCAGAGGAAAGCACTTCTATTGTTAACCAACATATCAAAGAACATAGAGTAAATGTAGAGTAATACCTTCCGATATGCAAATATATCAGCTAAAGGAATTGATAGTATCATCTTAACAATGATATCAAGAGCATCAACAAGCGCTCTATCACCATAAAGTTCAAAAATACCAAAGTTCACAAAGCTCCCAGATATTGCTGCCAGAAAAATAAAAATAAAAATAAACTCATTGGAAAGGTAAATATATGATAATACTATTGCATAATATGTTCAATCACTCTTCTTTTGCTTTAAAAATCAATAGAGAGAAAACAGTTAATACATGATATTATAAATAAATGCCATTATTAAGGAAGTAATAATTAGTGTGAAAACAACCTCTAAAATAAAAAATAAAAATTAACAGCCAGAGCATTTATGTTTCACTTCTATCACCTTTAACAATTCAGACCTACTCACAAATAAATTTTGATACTGCCAATACAAAACAACACAAAAAGCGTGACAAAATTATTAAAAGGGGTAAGTAAAAAATCATTTAACCGAGACAACCTTGAAAAAAAAATTCATATAGAATAAAATAGGATAGTCGAGAAAAGCAGGTTAGAAGATGGTGGCAGTGAAAGTTTTTAACATGTGGTGTTTAATCTACAGAAAAATGTTACCTAGATCTAAACCTAAATTACTCCATGCTCCCAATAGACCAGTCCCTTCCACTACATCCTACTTGCCAACAGAAAATATGATAGACAGTCATCTATTTCAATATCTCACAATATTTGCATACCTCGTGTAAGAATTATCAAACAAAGTGACATCCCCTTGTATTTGGAAGTGTACATGTCCGCTTTGTTAGGAAGAGGCAAAATTCTTGATCCATAAGCAACAATCAATTTACTAACTTCTCGGAAGAGTAGTATTCCGTTAGGAGAAGAATACTCAAAATTCAATCGCTGGGACTTGTTCAGTACTAGTTCAGCCACGAGTTTAAATAATGGAGTTGTTACCTGCATCATGTATGCAAAATTCATAGGAATATCTACAAGTTAAATTCTTTAGAAATTAAATATATCTAAACATTACTCTTAGGGGTATAATTAACAAAACATTTGTTTTATTAAGAGGGGACGAGGTTACTGTCACAATAGTTGACTTCTTCCCTTCAGAACCAGCTAGTTGGGTGCTCTCTTCAGAAGTTAACTCATGAAATAGGATTTGTTAGTTCTTTAACCATGGGGCAGAAATTCAATGATTCCCAAGCCTCAAATACTTTAAATTGTTCTAGGAATGTCAAATTTTACAGAAAAATATATTTATTTTTTCAATTAAGAAATTTCCTCGGGCATTCACATATTTGTGCCAGATAAAACTAAAAGTATAACCAAGCCTCATCCCTGTAGACTTGGGATGTAAGGATTAATGGTCACCCCTGGATTCTTCTATAGTTACCAATCCTGCATCGAGACACATAACAATAACAGTAGCTGCCCTAACAATAGTATAGCTATTAGGGATGAAAAAAAGATTCGTGCCCGCAGGTATCCACTGCAGATAGTTGGTATTCATGAGTAATAGATACCCACGAATAATGGATAACAGGACTTTTAGTACCTTACTAACGGGGCAGGGTTGAGTATGACACTACCCATACCCACATGTATCTATTAATAGTTAAAAATAAAAATAATAATTTACTATTAATATGCCCTAAGTCTTATCCTAATCAAAATTAGGTTTTTCGCTCCTCGTTCAAATAACTCACCCCATTCAAAAAAATAGTTGTTTCCCTACTTCTCATCTTAACACCTCAGTAGAGCCAACAACCTCACTGGTATCACCGCCATTGAACTCCTCTCTTTCCACGTGAGAGTTTCCCTTCTTCCCCTCTAAATCGCGAACACAGCACACGTCAGCCACCGTTGAAAACTGGGGTTGCCGCTTGTCGTAATTAGAGCAAAATCTTCCAAATTAGAGATAATGTATGTAAAATCTTCTAGTTTATTTTTCAATATATTTATTCCTTATTTCCTTATTTATTCCGTTTCAACTGCAACAGTAGCCATCACCGCCGCTATCCGACCATTGCAACTGCCGCAGTAGCCATTGGGATTGTTGATAGGGCAAAAGGGTGCACCCATCTTCAGTGAACACAATGCCGAAAAATCGCTCCCAGAAAGATGCCGCCACATGTCGACGCATGTAGCCCACGCACCTAGTTCCGACGAGACCCACTTCTCGCTGCTGTCACAAAAAGATTCGCACGGTTCAGTGAGGTCCAATTTGGCCCAGATTTGAGTTTTGAGTTCCACTTAGTTGAGAAAGAGTCGTTGGAGCCTCCTAAGGCCGTTCCTAGGTCAGTGACGTCCCATTTGGCCTAGATTTGAGTTTTGTTCCTTTTTTTTCGATGTAGCTCACACGTTGTCGTTGTCACGAATAGCTTGAAAGCAATGGTTAAATCAATGACTAAGCCCTCTGCATCATGTAATCTGTCCATGAATGTTAAGATTTGTCTCAATACTTTTGGTCTTGTGTCTCAAGTTATTTGGATTCTTGATTCAGGAGCAACTGATCATATGACACCTTTTCGTGGGTCCTTCAACTCATGATAAAAGAAATAGAGAACAACTTATCACAGTTGCGAATGGCCAAGGTATACCTATATACAGTTCTAGGAATATATTTTTTGAACTATCTATTCTATTAAAGAATGTTTTACATATTCCACAATTAGCTAATAGTCTTATCTCTGTGCAAAATCTCACAAAGGCTTTAAATTGTTCAGCAACATTTTTCTCAACTTATTGTGTTTTCAAGACCTTGCAACGGGAAAGACAATTTTATCTGCTAAGGAGCAGAGTGGGTTGTATCTGTTGGAGTCTGATAACCAAAGAAAACTAAAAATCAGGAGTCAACAAGCTACATATGAGACGTGGGCAAATTCGCAAATATGGCTACATCATAAAAGGCTTGGGCATCCTTCATTCAACCTTATCAAGACCTTATTTCCCCATTTGTTTACCAAGGACTCTATTGAGTCTTTTAATGGTGATATTTGTCAGTTGTCAAAACACCATTGTACATCTTATCCTATTTCTAATTAAAAGAGTACTTCACCATTTGATATAATTCATGTGACGTTTGGGGACTTGTCGTAGAATCTATTTCCGGAGCCAAATGGTTTGTCAACTTTATTTATGATTGTACCCATGTAACGTTTGGAGACAATGAAGCTACCATAGTCCACAACGAGAAAAAAGAGGAAGAAGGCAATTTTTTTGGAAAAAAATTTGAAAGAAGAAAATGTGAAGATAAATATCCTATTTCTCGGTATGTGTTAGATGTTAAGATGTGTGTTTCTGTTATTTGGGCTTAGTCTATTATGTATTAAGGGCATTGGCCCATATCTTACAATATAAATAAATTACCCTATGTGTATACAACACACACAAGGGATATTCTCTCCCAATCTTCTCTATTTCTCATATGGTATCTAGAGCACAGGAATAGTTCCAGTCAACTCCACGGTCTCCGGCACCCCTCACTGCCGCTGTCGCTGCCGCCGTCGCTGTCGCCGCTGCCGCCGCCGCCGTCGCCGGAGTTCCAGAATCGACCGGCGACCCCACCATCGGAATCGTCTCGGCCGGGCGACCACCGTCGTACGAAGATCGCGGCGAACGGACCTCCCACGCGCCTCCACGCGCCGCCGCAAGAGTCGCCGCTGCCGCCGCGCGTGCCGGTGCGTCGCCGGAGCTTTCCGCCGCCGATCAGCACCGCCGTGATCGCCTCCTCGCCCTCTTTCTGGATCTGTGGTCGTTGCGTCAATCGGAGCACTTTGAATTTTTAGGGTTTCTCCTTCCCTATGGCGTCTTCCTCGTCTACAAACACCTCTATTGGTGGCTCATCTTCTGATCCTTCAATATATACCAATTATGTGAATGTACACTTGTCCATTGACAAGTTAGATGGCACAAATTATGCAACATGGGCGTCCGACATCAAACTTTGGTTGAAGAGTCAAGGGTACTTAGATCATCTTACTCAAAATGTGACTACTGCTCCCATAGATGACACTTCCCGCTGGATGAAAATTGATGCTCAGTTGTGCATTGTTATAAAGTCCACCATTCACTCCTCACTGAAACAAATGTTTCGATCCTATGAAACATGTTCAGAAGTATGGGCACAAGCGAAGTTGTTATACACCAATGACACTCAGCGTCTTTATGGTGTTTGTCAGGACCTATTAACTGTTATTGGTCCGCGCAATCCTGGTCCTATGGCAGAATATTTGGGTAAAATTCATGCCCTTCTTCATGACTTTAATGATATATTACCTCCTGCTTCCACTCCTGCTGAAGAATTGGAACAGCGATCAAAGTTCTTCATGTTGTTGGCATTATACGGACTCTCTGATGATGTTTCTCATGTCCGTGATCAGATTTTGGGTTCTCCTGTCATACCCAACTTTACTTCTACTTGTTCTGCTCTTTTGCGTATACCGAGCAAACCCGTCACTGAGACATCCCCTCATACTGATGATTCCTCTGTTATGGCTGCTCAACGTGATGATCGAAGTCGGTCTCGCAAGCCAAGTAAAGGACGTCCAAAATGTGACCATTGTGGCAAGTTAGGCCACAAAATTGATAGATGTTATGCTCTCCATGGACGTCCTCCTCGACCTGTAGCAATGGCAAATTCTGATCCACCTCCCCGATCACCGTCTGCAGACCATCCTACTTCATCTAATATCGTAGACAAACCTGCAATCTTTAACGAATTTCTCAAATGGTATGAGGATCATCAGCACTCTGGTTCCACTACATCTGCATCTGTTGCACGTACAGGTACACCTTTTGTTGGTCTAACTCACTCCCTTGGACCTTGGGTCCTGGAATGCAGGCGCACGATATATTACTGGTTACAAGTCCTGTTTTCGTTCCTTGTCATGTCCGAATAATACCCTCGTAAACAATGGCTGATGGTCTAGAGTCTCATTCATGGTATGTACTGTTTACTATTTTCCATCCATATCCATTGATCATGTTACTTGATGTCCGTGGGTATCCTTCAACTTATTGTCCAACTTTAGTCGTTTAAACTCATACTCTAAATGGTGTGATTTCATTTACTCAAGATTCTGTTTGGTTGGCCAGGACCGGGGAGTTCGAAAACAATGATTGGCACAGATGTGAGTCTCATGGCCTTTATCATCTCCGCCCTTCTCCACATGTGGCGTGGTCATGGAGTCATCCCTTCTTTCATGCTCAGTTCGGGTTCACCCAGTCATTGCCAAACTACAACAAACTTGTCCCGAGGTGGTCCAGGCATTTATCAAGTTGTCGTGTGAGTCTTGTCAGTTAGGGAAACATATTCGTAGTTCCTTCCGTCGTAGTTGTCTCACAAACGGGCGTCTCAGTCTCCTTTTTCATTGGTTCATTCTGACATTGGGGACCTAGTCGTGGTAAGTCCATTTTAGGTTTCAGTATTTTGTTACCTTTAATTGAGACTAATCCAGATGTAATTGGTTTTTTTTATGAAGATCGTTCTGAGTTGTTTTTTATTTTTCAATCTTTTGTCAATGAAATATAAAAACACAATTTGGGTTTCTTATTCGAACTTTACGTAGTGATAATGGCCGTGCATACCTTTCTCAAACGCTTAAACAGTTTTTAGGGCTTCTCATGGCATTCTTCACCAAACCTCATGGGGTATACCCTCAACAAAGGGGTGGTGAAGCGCAAAGAATAGACACCTTTTGAAAAACAAATCGTACACTTCTTATTCATGGTCAAAGTACACTCCCTTTTTGGGGGTTGATGCAGTCTCACAGCATGTTTACTTATCAACCGCATGCATCTTCAGTCCTAGATAACAAATTCCCTCATTCTCTCTTGTTCTCAAGGACCCCTGCATCCATTACCTTATTCGAGTTTTTGGGTGACATGTTTTGTTCATGATTTTAGTCCTGGTTGATAAGTTATCTCCTAGGTCTCACAAATGTGTCTTT